CACAGTCTCCCAGGCAGGGGCTGGTGGCTTTAACTACCAACCCCCAGCCAGCAGAGCATTTTAACCCCTACACCACCAGGACTCCTTTACACTATCACCGTCAACGCTAAATTTTAAAATAGAAACGACCGTCTTCAATTACATTTATACTTGAAGTGGTGTCACATGGCCCGAGTACCAGCTCGACAAATCAATTCTCCACACAAGATCCACAGTTCCTATCAACAATCGGCCACGGGCCTTGGAAATGAGCGTACAGAAGGAAGCGTTCCTTACTGGAACACAGGAGACTCTCACCTTTGTCTGCCTTTTCATCCACAGAGTATTTAAAAAACTTCTGTCGCTCCTCCGCTTGATTCCACAGACTCAGCCCCCGCAGGAGCTCCGCCGTGTCCTTGTGAGAACAGTGCTGGGCGATCACCTTCTTCTTAATATCCTTGAGCTCCTCGTAGGTAAAGTACTCCATCAACATGGGCTGGAAGACCTGGGTTACACAAAACAGTCACCAAAAATACCTCATCAGTTGTCCGTATGGCTTTTAAACCATGAACTGCTCTAAAGCCTAGATGTTTCTATGACTTATAAACATGACTAACACTGAGTCTAAAACTGGTCAATGAGACGGTTTACTCCACGGTTTCTCCAGTTAATCAATTAAACCCTAAATAATGTGGAAGCTTGTCAAACACTCTTATTCATCATTTTCTAATTGTTGACCATTTATGTCAGGAAATGCTTCTGGAACGCCTCCAGGCAGGGCCTCTGTGCTGAAGAGGAATGAGACCTGCACCCTGGAACCTTAAACCAGAGCTGGCCTAAGACCTGCTGCTGGTCGTAGTGTCTGATGGTTCTGGAGATGGTTCCTGACAGCACTGGTGTCATACAGCACCAGCTCCCAGAAAGGTTTCCTCCAAGCACTGTTCTCGTACAACGGCTCTCTAGGAAGAATTATCTTGGGGTGGTTTGTTGTTTTTTCAAAAAGAGATGCTTAGTCCCAATCTCCAATGCACATAATCAAAACCTTTAAAGCAGGTGCCACAGGGTTTTTTCCCGAAGTTTCACAGATAATTGTGTTGTGCATCACAAGTTATGAAACAGCCCTGCTCGTCAATTCGGGCTGCGCACTACAAGGGCTTGGGCATCTTTACAAAGACACCCATAACCAATGCCTCCCATTTGCCTTCATTTTTATTTAACTGGCCTGGAGAGGGCTTAGAAGTAGGTGGCTGGTGGGTTTTCGTTCTTCAGCGAACAGCCTGATTATGACGTCATAATTGAGAATCACTACAGTAACTTTGAAGAGAAGGATGGGCACTCTCCTCCCATGACAACTGCAGCCTCAAAAAATCAATGGAGGGTCGGCTGTGCGTATGAGTCACTCATGACTCGACAGCAAGGAGTTTGGGGGCTTATTATACATGTTCTTCCATAAGCCACAAAGGACTTGCATTGACATGACACTTCCTTCCCTTTATCTTAAGTTACTGTGTTTCAACACTGAAGTAGGGAAGGTCTTCATCACTCCCTTGGTCACAGAAATCAACCGAAAGGCACAGAACTGAGATTCATCAAATGGTTTTTGATCTGCTCGATCTGAAAACGAAAGCACGTTTACCACTCACACCCTGCGGGTGCCGCACATACCTGAGCCCATGGTCTGTGATCTGGTAGCATCCAGACAGGCTGAGAAATAGAAGCACGCGGCCAGTCTCTTGTTCGAACTCTTCACTCCCAGAGTAAAGCAAGTCCCTCGCCACAGGCAGTCTGGTCCTTGGTGCTTTGTGACGCGGCACAGAGGACTCTGGGAGCGCGGACATAGTTCTCAGAGCGGTTCCGGGGCAACAAAACGAATGGCCACAATAGGCAAAGGCGGGGGAGGCGCAGTGCTGCTGCCAGCAGACCCTAGTCCTTAGGCCAACAATGTCCTTGTAACATCCAGAGGTGGGACAACTCAAGTTGGACGCAGTTTCCATGACACAAAGGCTCTCAACGTTTCTGTGTCTCCACTCAACAGCGTCTTCGATATCAGCCAGATCCTCGGCGTCGAGCATCCACACATAAGGGGAAACGAAAGCTTCCGGAGAAGCGGGCTTAGTCCAGGGCTGTTCGTCGTCGAGTTCTTCTTTGATGCCTTTGTTAGCAAAGTCGTGCAAATGCAGGAACGGCTTGGGGTGCTGCACTGTAATGTCTTTATTGTTCCAGGAGGTCGATGTCATTCTGCTATTGGGAGCCTTCCACAGGCCACTGGGATGAGAAGCCAGGACACCCAGGGCCCTGGAGATCCTCTCCAAAGCCACATCCGTGATCTTCTCACATCCGGACAGATCGAGGTGCCGGAGACTCTGGCAACAGCCGAGCCAAGACCAGCTGTAAACAATGGCAGGAGGAAAGTGAATGATCTCGGCTAGACGCTTCAAAGGCCATTTGCTTATTTCTAAGAAGATGGGAACGTCACAAAAACGATACACTTAACACAGCCACTCCTAGTTACTGATACTGCCAGGCACTGTCCTTGGCACAGCGGTGTGAGAGGACATAACGAGCAGAAAGGCTGCTCCCTGAACGGAGAGGATGGAAAGGGGATGGGGAGAGTGAGGCGCAGGCATTACCCTGGTGAGTGAGCAGCAGGGAAGCTGTACACACATAAGAGAGGGCAACAGATGACTCGGGAGAAGCTCTGGGCGTCACTGGCAGAGCTCCTCCTCTGAAATGGGGCCGAAGTGGTGACATGGACGGTGACAGGGAGACAGAGGGGGTGGGTCAGGATGGCAGGAAAGCAGTAGAGTCTTAAAGAAAGAAAGAAACATCCTCTTCTGAAGAGTTGCTTCCACAAAGCGATGCAATTCCAGGGCATCTTAGAGGGAGCCTGGCCAGCCCTTAGAAAGGCATCAGGCCGAGAAAGGTAAACGGCCAGCGGAAAAAAAAAGACCCTCCAGGAGACAGAATGACAGTGACAACCGTAACAGCCTTAGCGTGAAAGAAAGCGACATTAGCCCAGGACAGGACAGAGTTCAGAACTGTCTGTCGCTCATCGGGTCACAGTGAGTTGCAGTAACTGCAACAGCACTTAACAGTAACAACTTAAGAGTTCAACTGAACTTGAAATTCTTAAAAGTATGATGTTCCAGTTCGCATGACTGCTCAGCAGGTTTACAGGGCTGAATACAGCACAAGGTAACAAAGATGGACGGATGCTCCTGATAGGAAGCTCAGTCACCCGAAACTCATGGAGCAGAGGCAAACCCCAGGGGAACACACCCCCACCCCCCAACCCCCACCCCCATGCGCGCACGCACACACGCACACGCGCGCGCGCGCGCACACACACACACACCAGCTAAGCTATGAGAGTAAAAAAAAAAAAACCACAATATGAGCAAAGTGCAAGCCTGCTAACAAGAAACCACAGAAAAACTGAAGGGACTCGTAAAAACAAGTCTATGTAAACATCTGACAGGAAAAGCGCAAAGTATGAATGAAGTGCGAGCATGTAAGAAAAGATACTACACGGTAACTCTGATCCATGGGAATCATTAGATGCAAATATTTGAAAACAACTAACCTGTCAAATGCCGAATCGGAAATGTCAGTCTGGGTGAGGTCCAGGTGTTCCAGGTTGGGACAAAGCTCTAAAATCTGTCTGACCTAGGAAGCGAGAAGGCGCTATGATGATCTGCAGAAACCGGATGAGGTCAGACACTACAGTACAAAGTGCTGGTATGTGGGACTTTCTGGGGCGCACATGACAGTCACCCAGAAAGGGCGCCTCAGTGTAGACAGTACACGCTCAGATCGCTGAGAGCGGGATGCTGTCATTTTAAGGCTGGATCTGGAAATCCACAAGTTTAAGGGATTTTCCAGAAGTTCTGATGTAGGGAGCTGCAGGATACACTTGGTCCAACATGATGGCCTCTCACTCGCCCGCTTTAGCAAGCCTTACCTGTTTTTAGAACCGTATCTACCTAGCGCCTGCAGGACTGAAGAAACCACTCCACGGCCCCTAGTCTTGGTTCCTTCACCCAGCCGCGTGCACAGAGTGCCTACCTACAGAACTGCGGCGAGAACTGGAACGAAACAACACCCGAAAGGTGGCAAGTCTGGACCCACTCACCAGGATGCACACGCTTTCTGATGTTAATTAATTCCTTAATTAAATGAAGGAATAAGCAAACTGGAATTTTGCCACTTGTGCTTTTTCCCCTTAATATTCAGAACTCATGCTAAGGTCTACGTACCATTTTGCTGGAAACTGCAGAGCTGTACGCTAACACCAGAGTTTTCACGGAAGGGCCGGCATACGGCAGCACGTTCTGAATTAAGCCGTGGAGTAAGCGCTTTTCCATTTGTGCAATGCTGACAGCAAGTGACGCCTCTGCAGACTCCTCTGTGAAAGGAATTCAAAAGTTAAGAATGTGACGCACTGCTTCTGGTCAGGCTACTCAGGAATTAGCAAGTCATTCAACAGCAACTAGTTTTTGAAATAGTAAACTTCCTTATGTACAGACAGTGGACAAAGAGGCCAAGGTCTCACTCTCCGTTGTTGTCAGGTGCCACCACGCTGTCCAGGACTCACAGCGACCCTGAGCACAGGAGCTCTGAACGCGGCTCTAGCCTGAGCCAATCTCCGTAGCTGACTAGGTACACTTACTCTTGTTACCCTAGTAACTGTGTCAATTGAGCTCAGGGCTTCCTTTCCTACGCTGTGCCTTCACCCATCCAATCATGATGTTCTTCTCCCAGGACTGGTCCCTCCTGGCCATGTGCCCAAAGTATGTGACATGGAGCTTCAAAATCCTTGCCTCCAAGAGAAACTTGGTTTTACCCTCTCCAGGACAGACCTGTTTGTTCTCTTGGTGGTCCATGGTATGTGCAATACTCGTCTCCAGCATTGTACTTCAAAGGCATCAATTGTTCTTCTGTAATCTTTGGTCACTGGCCAGGCCTCTGATGCATAGTATGTAATCATGAAGACAATGGCCTGGATCAGACGCACCTCAGTCCCCAAAATGACATCATTGTTCTTCAGCAGGTCCCTGACAGCAGACTTCCCCAATGAATTATATCATCTGATTTCTCGACTGCTGAGCTTCCAGCACTGATTACGGATCCACGTGACGGCATCCATCTTTCCTGCACTTATGATTCTGCCCAGGTGTGAGGACTTCAGTTGAGATCTAACCTGTACTGAAAGCACGATCCTTTGATTTCCACCAGTAAGTGCTTCATGCTCTCTTCACTTTCAGTGAGCAAGGCTGTCATCGAAGGCAGCTCTCTGCTGTTAATAAGCCTTCCTCCAATCTTGACAGCACATGTAACTTCTATCAAAGGCTGTGTGGTCTCTGCTCTTCTCAGTAAGTGTTTCAAGTCCTCGTCATCTTCAGCACACAAGGCTGTCTCGTGCATAATGTGCAGGTTGTTGATGAGTCTTCCTCCAATCTTGATGTCACATACAGTAACTTCATGTAATAACTATTATCTATTGTACTAGCCTAGACAGAATGTATGTTTTCCTCCATCCTCCTAAACTCTCAGCACTTACAATTTGGCATTTCTTGTTGTGTTCCCTAAAATAAAAAGTGTGTGCTCTGAATTCTTTCACATGCATTTGAGTTCCTTATGACATGTCTGATAAGGGACTTATATCTGGAATCTATACACTACTCCAACACCTCAACAAGATAAATAACCCAATCGTAGAATGGACACAGGACATAAACAGACACTTCACCAAAGACATTCATATGGTGAACAAACACATGAAGAAATGTTCAAAATCCCTCGCTCTAAGAGAGATGCAAATCAAAACAACTATGAGATATCATCTTATCCCAGTAACAACAGCAAAGTCAACAGAGTGGGAAACAACAAATGCTGGCAAGGTTGTGGAGAAACTGGAACCCTTATTCACTGCTGGTGGGAGTGTAAAATATAGTGCAATGACTATGGAAGGCAGAATGGCACTTTCTCAAAAAGTTGGAAATAGAAATTACCATTTGACCTAGCAATTCCATTACTGGGAATATACCCCAAAGAAACCAGAATTGCCACCTAAACAGATATGCCCATCCACGTTTACTGCTACATCGTTCGTAACAGCAAAGAAATGGAAGCAACCCAAGTGCCCATCAACAAATGAATGGATAGAGAAGCTGTGGTATAGTCACACAATGGAATACAATCCTGGAGGATATTATGCTGAGTGAAATATCTCAGTCACAAAAGAACACATACTGCATGTCACTGTTATAAAACAGGACTGACATGGGGTTGGGGGAAACTAAAAAAAGAGGGAATAAATAATGAACACTGCATTGAAACAGATGAGGGAAAGAACTGTTTAAAAGGAATATATGATTGGGTATTATTGTCATGACAACAGTCCAGAATAAGAGGTACATATCAAAGCGCACTGGGGGGAGCAGAAAGAGGGAGGAAATTGTGCAACAATGAAGGAATCTTTTTAAAGAGAAAAGCGAACTGGAGGAAGGGGTAAGGAGGAAAATAAATAACAATGAATAAATAGAAATCCAAGTTGTCTGTAAACTTTTGTTAAAATTTTTTTTTAAAAAAAGGTCTAAAGTCTTAATCATCTTTGCATACTCCCACAGCAGTATATGAATGGCTACGTGAGATTTTATAACCCCTTTCTAGTTATAAAGAATTTCGTATCTATTACTTTGAAGGCACGTGATATGACTGTTGGTAAATGAATAAACAGACCCAATGTCTTCTCTCTGGAACAGCTGACTCTGAATAAATGGTGCTGAACTGACCAACTGAAATGACTCTAGAGGGAAATTGGAAGAATCTGTTCTGGAAAGCAATGTGTTTTAATTTTGTAAATAAACCAGTATAATTTTTAAAAAAATTAAACATCACATGGTAAACTGACTAGTAACACAACCAACATACAGTAGTTCTGTAATGAAAACGGAAACTCTTCTCTGATTTTAAGAAGAATTTTCATGTACAACTAGGTGGGAATCCCAATAAATGTCTTGGGGGGGGGAATCACATTCAACAGAATAAACTTAAAAATCTGATTATTATCCCCTTAAATTTTAAATAGGAGGGACTTAAAAACATTAATGTCTTTAGAAAATGCAAACTATAAACTCCATAACCAATATTACCAACGATTACGCATGATGTGTTATCAAGTATATTAACAATTTTGAAAACACTGTGCAGCACTCCTAACGCCCCGCACGGCTCACCGGATTCGTCTATGTCTGCGTCTTCATCCCACTCCTGGTAAGCTCGGCTCTCGTCCTTCCTGTTCTTCACCCATTCCTCATCAGGTTCAGTGTCAAGTTCAGTGGCAGGACCGCTGTACCAGTCACCTACTCAATGAGCAAAGGAATAACAAAGAAACAAAGAAAACTGGCTACTATTATAAAAAGCCAACCAAGTTAAAAACAAAAAAAACCCCCAATGCAATCCTGTCCAGGGAATACGTGAGCCCCAGGCACAGGGCCAACTCTTTCTAGGAATATTCAATGGTGGCTTAAAAAAAATGACCCATCACCGACTGAGGATTTCATTTCAGATCTACGGAAATAAATTATGAATATGCAAGTAAAAAGGTACTCATTTTTTCCATAATAGTTCATTTACCTAAAACAAATCTTTCTCTTCACATTTATGTAAAAGTTAAGAAGTATAGAAATTAAATAGGCTGCTATGTATTTATGACGTTTCCACTCCTGACTTTCAGAGCTCTGTCATTCTCTCCCTGACAGGAGCGTGGCAGCTACAGTTCCACTTCTAAGCAAAGGCACTTCCTCAATAGTCTGACAAGCACTGACACTGAGAGAAGCTGACCTTTTTCTGACCACAGCTCCACAGGCCCTGGCAGTGCCCCCGACACTGTGAGAGCTAAGAAACAGAGGAGCAGGGCTGGCCCCACTGTAGCCCGTCAGTCACAAGGAGTAGAAGAGCATTAAAGGGAAAGATTAAAGCAAAACTAAAGCATACGCTTAAGGACCCGTAAGAACACACTGAAATGCTACCTTCAAAGTGACAACGAGGTGCTGATTCACCCTTTAATATTACAATTGCATCAGTGTCTCAACCTTGCTGCTCCCGGCACACACGCTCTGTGCCAGGTCCCCCTGCCAAGGAGGACTGTCTTGAGCACTGCTGGCTGTTGCTGAACAACCCTGGGCTCTACTCACTAAGCAGTTGGAAGCACCACCCATGACCCCCACTGTGATAGCCAAAATTGCCTCCACACATTTCCAAACGTCCCTGGGAAGTCAAACTGATCCTGGCTGCGAACCACTGAAAACAGTATCTATCATAATTTACTAAAATAAACGGGGTGACCTAGTGGTAAAAAGCCGTGCTGCAATCCCAAAGGCATGTCGTTCAAATCCACCAGCTGCTCTGTGGGAGAACGATGGGTAATCTCCTTCTGTGCCTCTGAAAACCTGCCGGAGGGTCAATTATAAGTGATTCCAACTTGACAACACACAACAACAACACACTGTATGTTTTGTAAATAAAGCGCCATTACTCTTAATGCAACCACAATGGGGGTAGGTGTGTCGGAGTCAGTGAGACTGGCTCAGGCCAGGGCAGGCTTCAGAGCTGTTGTACACAGGGTCGGCTAGGAGTCGCAGGCAGCTCGCCAGCACATAGCACCACCATTTAAAGGGAAGTATATTTTAAGGATTTGGCTAACTTCACAAACGTTTAACACAGAATTATCAAACTGAGTCATGTCAAATATCATCTAAAGATTTATTGCTTCTTAATTAAAAGCAAATGTGTGTGTGTGTGTGTGTGTGTGTGTGTGTGTGTGTGTAAGCAAAAAAAGTATTTGGTTAATCCATGTTTTCTTTATTTGGCTTTTCATTCAATATTTCATTATCTTACATACAAGTAATAATTCTAGGCATTCAGATCTCACAGTTTCCCCAATCTTTCAAATAACCCCAGTCAAAAACCATGACACTGCTAACTGCTGCTTAGTGGGAAAGAAATATAAATTACTATAAAAAATGGTTTCAAACAGACACAAACTTCATCTGAATTCTGAGGTCACTATTTATCAACAAAATTACTCTAATGTATGTTACATGGAAGCATTTATCTCACACTGCACTCTATCCTCAAAGCAAAAACTTGAACTGCTCAAAAAGCAAAATGTAACTCAGCATCAGAACTAAATATGAAATTGTGACTTACAGAATAAGGCACTACCAACCACAAAACAAAACCATGTTAAAGACAAAAGCATGTTCTAAATTCTTTTGAATTACCACCAAAAGGAAGCTAACATAGTGCTCTACTGCAAACTGTACAGAAGGAATTCCTTTGCTAACACTCAATCCATTTCATATTGTTCCTACAGCCTGTGTACTTTACTCTTGACTTTTTGTTTTGGAAAATTTCTAAACAGTTCAATCTAGAAAGAACCAGAACAATGAATCCTTAAGAGCACACATCAGTCTTCCAACAATTATCAATGGTCTTCACCAATCAAAAATACTGCCTTTAAAAAAAAAAACACACCAAGAAGCAAAAAAACAAACCCACTCCCTCCCCTGCAACTATCTGTCCCTAAAAGTTCAAGGATATTGAAAGTACTGTGTAACTCAACAATAAACACTCTAGAACAGCTAGCTTTATAAAACTGTATTCTAAGAACATAATGAAATAAATCTACTTTTGGTCAACCCTCAGAGGCCGCCCTGGCCAGCCAGCCTTCTGAATGTCCACAACTATTCACTTTTTAAATAAACTCAAGTTCAAGTCCCATACACCTACCTCTGGCCCAATGAACAGGGTAGAGATGTTTCCAGAGCACCCCAGTCTTCGCCAGCTGTGCCCACTTCGTGCTGACCTGACCACATCGACACAACTCTTGAGGGTTAAGGTAACTGAAAATTGACAGCATTACCTCTGGAGGAAGGTGGCTGATGTTTGTGGCATGCTCTGAAACTTCCGACTCTGAAACGAGAAGAAAACACATTAAAGTCAAAGGTTACATGGGCCAAGAGCAGTAAGAAATTGCAACCGTATTTCCATGAATAAAACCAGTGCCTGAAGTCAACGTCTTCCTGCTGACAAGTTGGGGAAAGGAAATGACACGGACGAGACGGCGCATGGGGATGTTCAGCTTGTCGAGAACCCATCGGGTTAACCCATCACGGCTCCACGTAAGCTTCATCAGTGGCAGCTGCAATAACGCATACACCGCTGACTTCCTCTTACAACAGCATCAGTGAAAAACAGACGACACTCACAGTGGAGCATGAGCTGGCCAGAGGAGCCAGACAGGTTACACAGCCTTACACGGACGGTGCGGCGGTGACGAGTTCTCGGAGGCCTTTTCCAAGGCACACAAATGTCAGAACAGTCTCCATTCACGCGCTGGGAGTCCTGTCAGGACCCACCTTGCAATTTCACTCAGGAGACCTGGGAAACCTGACCTCATTAGGCAGCAGGTGCCCTGATCCCAGCCTGGGAGGTCTATTCACACTGTTCATGCGTCAGGTCCTGACAGACGTGTTTTTTTAAGATGCTGGGGCCACAGTTAGGTACCAGCTGACTGTTAATTAAAAGGCCAGTGGTTCAAACCCACTGGGAGAAAAGCTCTGATGATCTGCCCCTGAAAAAGATTGTAACTTAGGAAAGCATGTAACTTGTCTTATGAGGATCACTTTGTGGGAGAAGGATGGGCAGGCCCTTAAAGATTTACAGCCAGAACCAACTCCACAGCACTGGGTACGAGGGTCCCTAGGAGTCGGAACCAGGCTCCGGTACCTGGCATGAGAAGCTGTGCTACAATCCCAAAAGGCACCATGTGACATGGTTCAAATCCACCAGCTGCTCCACAGGAGAAGGACGGGCAAGCTCCTCCCAGGCAAGTCTCAGCCTCTGAAAACCGGCTGCAGGGTCAGCTGTGGGGTGGTCCCGACTCAACAGCACACAACAACCAGCTGAGTTAGAATCAGCTGGTATGTGTGGCCACCACCATGTAAAAGTGTCATCAGAAATCTGCCATCAACTATGGTGACAATGGTCACCAAAATGACAATTTTCCAAAATCTATTAACTGAGTGGAAGAAGAAAAAAAAGCAAATGAAGTGCTACAGTAAAGAATCTAAGCTAATCATCTCAGCACTAGGAAGACAAACTTTGTGACTTGTCCCCACAACGCAACCTAAGTACAGCGATGCTACGATCACAATGACCTTAACCTACTCCTTTTTAAATGGCAAATATTTTACACACAGTATAGCTATAATTTGCTTTGAAGGGATGGGAAAATTAAATGTACTGAGAGTGATGGCTTTTAAGTTGCATGTTATAATTAAACTAGATACAACAGGTCTTAGCTTGGAGTCTGAAGTGCAAGTTGTATTTCAGAGTGAGGCATACAAGCTTTTACGGGTTTAATTATAGTTTAATTTAGAAAACCTTTTTTGTTTCAACATGCACCACATCTAAATTCTTTGGGAAGGGAAATAAAAGAACAATTTTAATTTTTTTTTTTTCAAATTGTGGGCTATGCTAACAAAATTGCCACTGCTTTCTCTCGTGGAGAAGAGAAGACATTTTTTTCACAGGTCTAAGGATGCCAACCACTTCTCTGATGAGGTTTTTTTTAAAGGTAAGCAAAGCTACCAAAGATAAGTAAGAATGAAAATGTGGAAGGATTCTATTAAGATAAGAAAGAGCCTATCTTATGTGCATCCTCCTTGCTTTTCTAAGGTACCTACCAACCAAAAGGCTTGGCCTCTCACACTCACTTCCCTGTGTCTTACTAGATATAAGCGGACGGAGAAAGAAATGCTGGGGGTGAACGTGGGCGAACACGCAGCATTCAGGTCACAGACCGCTTATTACGAGCAAACGTTAAGGATGACCTTAAGCATAATCAATTGTATAAAGTGAAGGGGAGAAAATTCATGTGGGGGGGGAGCTGCCACAGACAATGGAGCTCAAAGCACTGGAACTGCAGAAGTGCTACCTCTGGCTGCTGTTAGGCGCCATAGAGGCAGCTCGAATGCCCGGCCACCCGCTGTCGGGGCCAGTGGAAACCACACGTGGCCCAGAACCATCCTGACAAGCCTCTGCTGAGCTCAAAGCCGCACGGCAGCCCCCACGTCCTCTGCGCTGGGAGTCCTCTGTGCTGGGAGTCCTCTGTGCTGAGTCCTCCGTGCTGGGGAGTTCTCTGTGGGGGAGTACTCGGCTCTGGGGAGCCCTCGGTGCTGGGGAGTCCTCTGCGCTGGGAGTCCTCGGTGCTGGGGAGGGCCATCATCTGCCCGCCTGCTCCAGGTGTACTGGGCCAGGCACACCTGGAGGTGCAGTGGAAGGCTTTGTCCGCGACAGGGTGGTGGTTTGAAATCTGTTCAATTTGTGGAATTGCACTTCAGGAGAGGTGAGGTCGTCTGAGAGATGCCTGACAGTAATGGGAGTCCTGTGTGCTGTGGGGCTGAGAGATACCTGATGGCGATGGGAATCCTGGGTGCTGTGGGGCTGAGAGGTGCCCGACAATAATGGGAATCCTGTG